CGGGAGGTGTGGGCTTTGGCGACGTGACAGATGCTTTTCTGCAGTAAGATCCGTTCAAGGAAAGACTGGGCTGAGAGCGGAAAGAGCTGGCATGATTTTGTGATGAATACGAAAGCTGTTTAATATTCAGCTAAATTCTACCGTGAAAGGTAACTCTAAAGTGAAAGTGATTTAATATTCACCTACTGAAAAGGAAGAAAAGGTGGTTGTGTTGCTGAGTAGATACACGCCCAGAGCTCAAAGGGCATGCGTGGGAGATGGCACCACCTGACCTGCAGTCCGGGAGGGTGTCCGTGGGCGGTGCCCCTGAGAGCGTATGCAGACGGGCACTCGTGTCTCTCACAGCGACTGTGACAGAGACGGCCGTGGCCGGGAGCAGGAGCACTGGCAGAAAGAAGTCTTAGTCATATGAGGATGAAGCATTATCTCCAAATTAGCAGAAATGTCCGGTATCCCTTACAAGGGACGTTGAGAATGAGAGAATGGGCTAATTTTAGAGCTGGGAGGTCTATGCAGCCTGACGTTTTTCAGATGGGAAGACTGCTGGCCTAGAAGAGGGTGATGACAGGTCACGGTTCATTCGAGATGAGGAAGGCTTAGCTCCGAGGAGCCGCAGCCGCGCTCCGTCCCTCCCGCCCCCTTCCTGTCCGCGCCAGTGGTAGACAGAGAGAGACTAGCTATGGCAAATCGTCTAGATCTCCCCGTGCAGATGTGTCCGTACAGGAAGGTGGCCGTTGGTTTCCTCTGACCCTTCACCAGCACCACGTAAGACGGCAGAGTTGGGACCAAGTCCCTCAGTGATAGAGGCATTTCTGTAGAATAGCTTCTTGGCTGAGAAAACTTCAGATGGGCGATGTGAGGAGCTGTGGCAGACACTGATATAACTTGATGCCTTCTCCAAAGATTTCATCGTATTTCAAGGAAAGCGCTCTGAGATTTTGATGGTCGTTATATTTCTGTGTGTGTGTGTGTGTGTGTGTGTGTGTGTGTGTGTGAATATGTATAGGAGGAGAGGGAGGGCAGGAGAGAGGTAAAATGTTTATTACATGTGTATATATGCATTATATACATGTATAAAGTGAAGCTATTAAAAGTATATATTAATATGTAAAATCATAACATTGGCAGCTCTTCAGAATGCTAAATATAGAGCTAGCATATTCCGCTCCCAGGTGTATCCCAGAGAACTAAAAACTTATGTCCGTGCAAAATCTTGTCCACAAGTCTTCATAGCAGCACGAAGGGACAGTAAAACGTGTATAGTCGTAATATTCGATAATAACAGTGGAGTATTACTCAACCGTAAAAAGGAGTGTGAGCTTCGGGTAGGCCAGCACATGGATGCACCTTGAAAGATTTTTGCTAAGTGAGAGAAACCACACACAGGCCACCTATTTCATTATTTCATTTATATTAAATATCAAAATTAGGCGAATTCATAGAGACAGAAAATGGATTAGTGGTTACAAGAGCCTTGGGGGAGCAGAGGAGAGAGAGTTGCTGTTAATAGGTATGGCGTTTCTTTTGGGGGTAAAATCTTCGGATGGATGCACAAATCTGTGACTATATTAAAAACCATGAAGTGTACTTTAAAAAGTTGAACTTTATGGTGTGTGCATTATATAGGTAGATAGATAGATAGATAGATAGATAGATAGATAGATAGATAGATAGATAGATAGATGATAGATATATCTTAGTAAAGTTCTGTTATTAAGTAGTAGTGATAACTTTTTTAAAAAAAAATTTCTATATGCCATGAATAACAAATTAAAAAATACAATGGAAAGGATAACTGCAGGATAAAATTAAAGAAATTTTTAGGAGGAAAGGGGAAATTATTCCACAGATAGTAGTGCGTTTTAAATCTAGAAAGAGACCTAAATGCATGTATTTGGAAAGTAATATTTAGCAAAGATACTGTTTTTCCTCGGTGGGAAAAGTATAGGTCATCTGTGAAATAATGGTGTTCAGCGCTTTTAGCTACCCTTATCAGTTGACTTTTGGGTTGAAACCAGAAGAAAACAGTCCTGGCAAGCCTGAGCAGAAAACGCCTCTGAAGCAGGTGGGGAACGTCGGGCCGGCCGCAGCCCGTGGCGTCATTGGGTCCGGCCCTTCCAGGGCCTTCGGGGTGAGCTCACTGAATGCCTGGCCTAACATTCAGGCTGATGTTTGAGTGGAGAATTTTGTGTGGCCCTGGGCTCACGTTATTGGTATCTACACGGCCCTGTAGGAAGAAAGGTCCCCCACCCCTGATCTAAAGGAAGGATATTGAAAGGTCCCCCACCCCTGATCTAAAGGAAGGCATCCGTGGGAAACCAAACTCAGAAAATGGCAGCAACCAAATGATGCTCAGGAGCTGGGAACGGCCCACCTGGCGCCCCGGACACGTGGTGAGGCTGTTCCACTTCCCCGGACCCGCCGCTGCCACCGGGACTGCGTTCTCAGGTCCCTGTGCGTGTTCCTGCCGCCCCCTCCGACCTGAGACCCAGCGAGCGCCCAATGCAGAGCCGGGTGCTGGGCCTGCGTGTTTACCGCGGCGGGGGGGGGGGGGGGGGGGGGGAGTCTGCCCACTCGTGCTCCTAGAGGATGAGGTGGGGACCTGGAGCATCAACTCAGGTGGGAAGGTGCCCAGATGCTGGAGAGCCCAAACGCCGATTTCCACTCACACGTAGGTCAGCACAGCTAGAACCCCCCTGTATCTGTCAGAGACCAAAATAAACTCCGCGTGGTTCAGAATGTCAGTGTAAAGCCTGAGACCATAAACGTATTTGAAGAGCCGAAGCCAGTTTGGCTCAGTGGATAGAGTGTCGGTCTGCAAACTAAAAAGTCCCAGGTTCAATTCTGGTCAAGGGCATGTACCTTGGTTGTGGGCACATCCCCAGTAGGGAATGTGCAGGAGGCAGTTGGTCGATGTTTCTAGCTCTCTATCCCTCTTCCTTCCTCTCTGTGGAAAATCAATACTATATATATATATATATATATATATATATATATATATATATATATATATATATATATATTTGAAGAAAAGGCATGTGAATATTTATGTAATGGTTTGGGAAAGTTGTTAAACATGTTGTAAAAGTCAGAAAGCCATTAAAAAGGTCAGTAAAGAACATTATATGACTCAGGAAGGGAATCATGGTCTGTTACATTTTTTTAAAAAAATAATACATACCAGAACATAAACAGTGGTTTTCTCTGCCTCCCTCTGTTAAGTTTATTGTTTTTTCTCAAGAGCTATTTTTACATTTTCTAGTAAGTGATTCGGTGGATTCTTTGTAAGAATCCAAAGATATCTGGCCCTGCAAAATTTGTGCTAAACTCTACAAAAGTGAAAAATGTCGAAAGAGTAAGCAGTGAGACTGTGTATTTAGACACCTCCATTTTTTTTAAATACCGGGAAGGTGGCTTTTGGAATTCACCCCCCCTGGTGGCACTTCAGGAGAGAGAACTGAATAGCTGAGTGGTGAACACGCCCACGGTCAGGGTGTTTCTCGTACCTCCCCTGGTGTTTTTGTTTGGCTTGTACTGTCTCGTCTTGTTTCAGAGAGAACCCATCTGTTTGACTAGAGATGGATCAGTCAGTGTAGGGTGCCCGTATCTAAGAGGAGGCATCCCGGATGTAAGGACTGCGGGACGGACTCTCTGGGGCCTGTAGCTCATCACTGCATGCTCTTCCCCGGGAGGGAGTTGGCCCGCCATTTCCTGTCTGGCTGCCCTTAGCCTAAGCCCTGGCATTGCTCTCCCCTCTCCCCATGGATTCCTGTCCCAGTAAAGGATGCTCAGCATCCCTCTGACACGGGACATCCATGGGTTCCTCAGGTAAAGGCGAGTCGCCTGAGGACGGAAGGCTTCGCTCAGAACCCTGACACACAGGTGAAAGGAGCCTTCGTGTTCCTGAAAGGCCCATCCCGGCGCATAGGGGGAGCAACCCTGCGGCCCAGGGAGGCCCAGGGAGAGCAGCCAGGCCCCTCACACTTCCCTCCTCATCGAAGAGAAAGAGCCATTCTGGCTTTGAGTCTCTTTTTCTCGATGCCTTCAGACTTGACCATACAGAATATCTGAGTCGAAACCAACTTGGCTCAGTGGATAGAGCGTCGGCCTGCGGACTGAAAGGTCTCCGGTTTGATTCCGGGCAAGGGCATGTACCTTGGTTGCGGGCACATCCCCAGTGGGGGGTGTGCAAGAGGCAGCTGATGGATGTTTCTCTTTCATAGATGTTTCTAACTCTCTATCCCTCTCTCTTCCTCTCTGTAAAAAAATTAATAAAATATATATTTTTTTTAAATATCTGAATCAGTCAACATAGCCTGGCATGGATTTTCTAATTGACACTGTCATGATCTGAAGTTCATTTTAGAAAACGAGAGATTTCCAGGTAAACCTTTTCTCTATGACCATCGCCTCGGGGCTCTGCGCGTTTCTGTGGCTTTCACTTCCGGTCAGAGCAGTGTGACACGGGGCCTCGGCGGGCTGCAGAGTCGCCCTCCTCCGTGTCCCAGGGGGCCCCCGTGGCTGGGACCGGATGGGCCGGGTCTGCCCCTGCTCCGGTGTACGGGGGGCCTGGTCAGCATCTCACCTGCACCCCGTGGTGAAACGGCGCGAGCTGCTTGGCCTGTGTGTCTCCTGAGCCGCCCGTTCCACCAGCACTGCAGGCGTTGCCTCGTGTGAAAGTGGCTGCTGTGTTAGCTTACGTGTTGTGATGACGTAACACTGGATGAAAGAAACAACAGCTAAGCAGAGCTGTCTGATCCCGTTTCTGGACAGGAGGGTCTGAGGGTGTGCTCACTGTCCATGACCCCTGGCGACGCTGTAGGCACCAGGCACCGTCCCTTCCCGCCCACACCCGGGCTGGGACCAGGAGGGTCTTGGTGGCAGGAGGGGCGCCCAGGGCCGGGAGGCTGCGGGGGAGGACAGCCCCCTCCCGCCCCGCGCCCCCAGCGGCACCGGGACGGGTGGCGAGACTCATGCCCGCGCCTTTCTTGTCTCCCCAGGAGCGGCCTACTGCCAGTTCATGGACATGCTCTTCCCCGGCTGCATCAGTCTGAAGAAGGTGAAGTTCCAGGCGAAGCTGGAGCACGAGTACATTCACAACTTCAAGCTCCTGCAGGCGTCCTTCAAGCGGATGAATGTGGATAAGGTAGGAGACTCCGGGGTGCCTCCGTCCAACGCACCTTCTTTCCTTAACGTGGACTTTGTGGGAAATGGACAATGGGTGTCAGTGGGACAGACCTTGCTCTCTTAGCAGGAGGTTGGGGTCTGTGCAGCGCATAGGGCATCCACCCTGGCTTCCCATATTTGTAGGTTTTTATTTAAGGAGGTTTCTACACATGTAGCCATTAGACCGAAAACCCTCGTAGACACTGCAAGTGCTAAACTTCGTTCTCTGCATTAGCGCTGCAAATAATAGGTGCTTATGTTTGCCAGGTGCCACCATGGTTCTTCCTGTATTTTGTTCCTTTGGAGAACCAGTAGTTACCGTGGAAGCAGCGTGGGCTGAGCAAATGATATTTCAATTCTGAGTCTCAGTTTACCCATCTACAAAATAGGACTGAAACCCCGTTCCCTGTGGTTACTAGTGTACCGGTTAACAATGCGGATTTTTTATAATACCTGTAGTTACACACACGTTGATATATGTGCGATTTGATACGTATGCTATTTTATTGTATAAGAGCAAGCTTCAAAACTTCATATGTCAAATTTTCTGAAGATGTTAACATCATAGTTATTTTTACACTTAAAAATGTCAAATTTCATGCCCAAAAAAAGAGCATTTGCAGGAAGTTTTAATTCATTATTTTGAAGAAAAGTGCTACTGAATACTTTGGGAAGCTTACGGTGAATATGCTCCATCTCAAGATATTTGTGGCTTAAACGCTTTAAAAGTGATGATTTTGATGTGAAAGACAAAGACGTCCAAGTCAACTGAAAAAGTTTGAAGACCAAGAATTACAAGTATTATTGGATGAAGATGTGTGTCAAACTCAAAACATCTTGCAGAAAGATTAAACATTGCTCAGCAAACAATTTCCGATCGTTTACAAGAAATGGAAAAGATTTTAAAGGAAGGAAAATGGGTGCCACGTCAACTGAACAAAAGACAAATGGAAAACGGAAAAGTCATCAGTAAAATGTTGCTTCAACAGCACGAAAGAAAGTCTTTTTCGCATCAAGTTGTGACTGGCGATGAAAAGTGGATTTATTTTGAGAATCCCAAGTGCACAAAACCATGGGTTGATCCAGGTCAACCATCAACATCAACTGCAAGGCCAAGTAGCTTTGGAAAGAAGACAATGCTCTGCGTTTGGTGGGATCAGGAAGGTGTGGTATATAATGAGCTTCTAAAGCCAGGTGAAACCGTTAATACTGATCGCTACCAACAATAAATAATCAATTTGAACCATGCTTTGATCGTGAAATGACCAGAATGTTTCAGAAGACATGGCAAAGGAATTTTGCTTCATGATAATGCACCATCACACACTTTAAAGCCAGTTAAAGACACATTAAAAGATCTTGCCTGGGAAGTATTAACCCACCTGCCGTATTCACCAGACCTTGCTCCTTCAGATTACCACTTGTTCAGATCGATGGCACATGCACTTTATGAGCAGTTCTTCAAAACATAAGTGGAAAATTGAGCTTCTGAATGATTTGCCTCAAAACAAGAAAAGTTCTATTGGGACGGTATCCACACATTACCCTAAAGATGGGGAAAATGTGTAGCTAGCGATGGACATTATTTTGAATAAAGCACTTTTGATGTTTCTCTTGAAATTAAGATGTTTTCTTTAATTATTAACCAGTACACCTGGTATATGAAGTTCCAGTGAGGAAACATGTGGAAATGTCCAGCATGGTATACACATGCAGATTCTCTATCTGTGTCCATAAATTCTCCTGTTTTCTCCTTTGGATTTTTAAGTTTTGTCCTAGAGAGATGCAAATGGGGGTAGACTGGATCCCCACCCTCACTCCCCCATCCCCACCCACTGAAGGACCGTTGCTAAAGTCCATGCAGTCCATGCCTTTCCTCCACTCACATACATATGCAACCCGTATTATCCCCTTAGGGCCTGTCTCTTAGAGGGAACAGGCTTGGAAAGAAATTAATTTTGAATAAGAGAAAATAAATAAGCTAGCAGGAGAGAAATGGAAAACTTTTTCTTTGCATAGATAATAGCAATAAATAGGCTATGGAAATAAAAACTAAAGTCTCGGGTTAAGAAATATAAATTAAATAAAGGAAAGGAGTAAGGTTTGGCAAAGATATTTTCAATTTAATGCAATTAATACCTTTCTAAATAAAAAACATTCTTATCCAACGATTAAAACCTTAGTTTTCCTTTTCTCAGAATTTTCTTTTCAAAACATATTCTCTTCAGCATCGTAACCTTCTGAGGGCTCTCCAGCTTCGTGTGTATGTCCTGTGCGGTGGTTACTGTCCAGTTAGCTCCTTCAGAACCGGGGCTGCCCGGGGGCTCCTTCCTCAGCAGCGGCATCCCCCACGTCATCTCTCATCCTTCAGCAGCAGCCTTTGGTCTGGGGAAAAAAACAAACAAAAAAAAAATGGTTTATGGATTCGCTGCCGGAGCGTGCTCTCTAACAGTCTCGGCTCCATGCTCTCCAGAAGCACAGACACACCGAGCGGGTGAGCCCTCGTCCAGAGGACTGACTGGAGGAAGACTGGCCCGATACTTTTTCCCAGCCTCGCTGCCTCCTGGGCTGTGATTCCGTCCGGAGGCCCTTGAGAGACGAGGCCCCTGAGCACCGCCCGAGCCTTCACTGTGCAGGGAGCGGAGCTAAGCCAGCGGAAGGGAGTGCTCCTTTCATGGCCCGTGGGCACCGTCCTCCAAGCCTGTTCATCTGTGTCCATGTCGGCGGAGAGCAAAATCCACAGCGTGTTCACGGAAGGGCTTCTACGCGAAGAAGGCACTTTCTTAAGCAATCAATGGCAGCACCAACAAAACCTGTAAATAGGGAGACGTGAACATCTTTAAGTGGCGCAGGGAAGACTCGGCTAAGTGCCTGCGGGGCAGACGCCCCTGAGGTCTGGGCAGAGAAGAGATTCGGCATCGAGTCTCCATCGCCGGAGGGGCCTTCGTGACAGCCGTGGCTCCTGCAGAAGCCTGCTTCCCTGTGTTTCGCTCTGTACTCCACTCACGTTCAGCCTCAGCTGCACACTCGTCTCCTCTGAATCGGTGTTTTGTGAATGACTGAGTGTCACGGATGCCCTGAGGTGCTGCGGTTCCTTTTTCTCTGTCAGTGTGTCCTGGACCTGTGAGGTCTCCCTTCTTCTTTAGACTGGCCCTCACAGCCCAGGGTGCCAGTGGCACCTCTCTCCGGACATGGCACGGTCCCCCTGGTCTCCTGGGTGGGCCCCTGCGTCCTCTGAGCGCTGAGTTCGTCTGAATTCACACACACATGCGTGTACACAGCGCTGGGTTCGTCTGAATTTACACTCACACACATGCGTACACACAGCGCTGGGTGCGTCTGGATTCACACTCACACATGCGTACACACAGCACTGGGTGCGTCTGGATTCACACTCACAAACATGCGTACACACAGCGCTGGGTTCGTCTGAATTCACGCTCACACACATGCGTACACACAGCGCTGGGTGCGTCTGGATTCACACTCACACATGCGTACACACAGCGCTGGGTTCGTCTGGATTCACACTCACACACATGCGTACACACAGCGCTGGGTGCGTCTGGATTCACACTCACACACATGCGTACACACAGCGTTGGGTTTGTCTGGATTCACACTCACACACATGCGTACACACAGCGCTGGGTCCGTCAGATTCACATACATGCGTACACACAGCGCACAGCCTGACTCGCCCCCCAGCTTTATCGCTCTCAGGGCTCACGCTCAGCTGGTGAGCCCTGAGAGCGATAAAGGTGAGGACGTAAGACCCCGGTAAGGGTGCGGTCTGGACAAGCACGCACCTTCCGTCTCCCTTTAGACGTAGCTGCCCCTGCATGGAAGCGAAGCGGCCACACCACCCACTTCCCAACCGAGAACCCAGGCTCCTGCGAGCCCCAAAGGGAGCAGCCTGGCCCTGTAGTCGCCGGTAGGAAAGGAAGAGCTGAGGTTCGTCTCAGGATGTTGAGGTTGATGCTCGCACCTCCTCCAGGCTGCCTTCCGTGACTCCCCTAACCAGCCCCATTCCTTCCTCCGCTCTCCCACGGCACGCCAGCTGCGCCCCCTGCACCCCGGGAGTTACCGGGCCCTGCACCGGGGGGTTGGTTGTCTTGGTGGCTCTGGTTCTGCAGTCTTAGCTAGCCCTACGCAGGCTCACTGGGACCGCTAGGCTGGTGTGCGCAAGCAGTGATGAGAGTCCGTGTGTTCACACTCTCTAGCAGCTGTAATCCTTTTACGTATTTGTTCTGACACAACTGGACCAAGTGCTACAAAGAAATAAGGAAAATCCATCCGTCCAATGCCGTATCCCAGGCCCGTGGTTAGGGGAGATGCTCTGGCAATAAACACACTGTAAAGAGGGCCGGCTCCTATCGGCTGAGGGTGTTCCTTGTTTTGTCGGGTTGTTCAGAAATGTTAAATAATTCCAAGGAAGCCAACTACAATATTTTTTAAATATATTTTTATTGATTTCAGAGAGGAAGGAAGAAGGGGGGGGGGGAGAGGAACATCAATGATGAGAGAGAACCATTGATCAGCTGCCTCCTGCACACCCCACACTGGGGATCAAGCCTGCAACCCGGGCCTGTGCCCTGACCGGGAATCAGACTGCGACCTCCTGGTTCATGGGTCGACGCTCAACCACTGAGCCACGCTAGCTGGGCCCATCTGCACCATTTGTAGGTGGGGTTTTTTTTTTTCCAATATGGTGAAAAATGACAGATAAGCTGGGCTGGCTGAGAAGCTGGGGGAGAGCCCGTGGGGTGAGTGGCAGACGCGCGGGAACGGTTGGCGGAGGGGCCGCGGCGGCTGGCCCGCGCCCGCGCCCGGGCTGGGACTCAGCGTGGCCTCCGTTGCAGGTGATCCCGGTGGAGAAGCTCGTGAAGGGGCGCTTCCAGGACAACCTGGACTTCATCCAGTGGTTCAAGAAGTTCTACGACGCCAACTACGACGGCAAGGAGTACGACCCCGTGGAGGCGCGGCAGGGGCAGGACGCCATCCCGCCCCCCGACCCCGGCGAACAGATCTTCAACCTGCCCAAGAAGTCGCACCACGCCAACTCCCCCACCGCAGGTGAGCGCCCGGCCGTCTTTCCGCTCTGTCCACCTGGGCCTGGGAATACTTGACTCGTTTCACAGCGGGTTTCTCTCTCCCCAGATAGTTCCTTAGATTAAAATTAACTCGCACGTCCTGACCCTGAGACATCAGGAGCGTAAGCGGAGGCTCCCGGGCGTCTTGGGGCAGAGGGACTGGATCCGCGTGCTGATAATTCAGAAGGGACTGTCTGCAGTGGCAAGAAAACGTCTCTTCCGTCGTACGGGCGGCTGATAGAGGTTGTCCCCTGTGTCTCACAGGGTGGCGCCCCACCCACATGGTGCACTCTGTGTTGTGAGCACGTGCTGGATTTTTCTGCCGTCTCAGGACAGACGCAGGATGTTCTGTGGGTTCAGAGAAGCCATGGAGCCCGGTGGTGGTGGCCAGGTGACTGACCTGGGCTGTACAGGTGTATGCGTGTGGCTGGGTGGCTTACCTGGGCGACTGACCTGGGCTTTACAGGTGTGTGCGTGTGGCTGGGTGACTGACCTGGGCTTTACAGGTGTGTGCGTGTGGCTGGGTGGCTCACCTGGGCTGTACAGGTGTGTGCGTGTGGCTGGGTGGCTCGCCTGGGCAACTGGCCTGGGCTGTACAAGCGTCGGCGTGAGCAGAGGCTGTCGAGCAGGAGTGGACGGCTGCCTGGCAGGTCTTACTCGCTCTGCGTGAGGAGGAACTGCACCTTGAATTGCTTTTGGTCTGTTAACAAGGAGCATGTATTAAAATACACATTTTCATCGTGATAGATACCTGCCCAGTGCATATGCCGTCCTGAGCCGTGATGTTTGTAAATCATTGCTGTGAACTTGAGATGGCCGTTGGGGGACCAGTTTTTATGTTAAGCACTTACTGCACTTAAAAGGAAATTGGAGGGTGCGGTTCCTATGGCAATCACAGCTTAGACACATTACAAATTCACGTGTATTAATGTATTTAAATCAAATTCCCATGTACAAATACAGCATGAAGGATTTAAAGTTGCTCTGGAAGTTGTGTCTAAGTTTCCTCTTTTCCTCAGGGATGTCAGGTTTCCAGACTTAAAATCAGATTAACAGAAATACTAGAAAAATGGTTTCAAAAAAAGAAGCAACCTGAGAATAGTAATAGAATGAAGTATTTGAACAATCAGAATTAAATTTGTAAATGTATATTTAAACAAATACCACTTTTTTAACAACTGTATCGAATACTTGAATACTTTTATTCTCAATTATCTTTAGCTAGAGGCCTGGTGCATGAAATTCTTACACCCGGGGGCGCAGGGGTCCCTCAGCCCAGCCTGTGCCCTCTCACAGTCTGGGAGCCCTTGTGGGATATTTGACTGATGGCTTAGGCCCGCTCCCCATGGCAGCTGGGCCTAACCTGGCAATAAGACATCCCTAGCACTGCAGTAGAGGCGGGAGAGGCTCCTGCTACCACCACTCTGCTCACCAGCCATGAGCCCAGCTTCTGGCTGAGCAGCGCTCCCCCTGTGAGAGCACATGGACTACCAGGGGCAGCTCCTGCATTGAGCGTCTGCCCCCTGATGGTCAGTATGCATAATAGCAACCGGTAGTTTTGCTGTTCGGTCGATTTGCATATTAGCCTTTTACTAGATAGGATTCGGGGTTCCCTGCGGCTGTTCATACAACCTGAACAAGGTGATCAAGTTTATTCATTTGTTCAGCATTGTCTGGGCATCGCTGAGCACCTGTAATTGAAGTGAGCATCTCCTGTCATCCACTATGAGGAAAGAAGAGTTGCTTTCATTTTCCCAAAAATGTTTGTTTGTTTGTTTGTTTGTTTAGGAAAGGCTATGAAATGTAGCAGTTTATAGTGGTTTTTGTGCTTGTTTTGATCTTGACTTTACGACCCAAAATATGGTCTTTCTTGGTCAACATGCCACACATTCTTGAAGATAGGTATTCTACGGTCGCCTGGTATTTTAGGAACACCAGTAGTAGATGGTGTTAGAGAGAGCAGGCCGTAGGTGGTGTGACTCACAACCTCTGTGTTCACTCGTCTGTTTGTCACCGTCTGGTTCTGACAACTGCTGCAAAGAGGCTGTGAGCACTGAGTGTGGCCCTCCCTCAATGCTCTCAGTGTCTCCTGGACAGGAGGCCATGTTATTAGGCGCATACATGCTTGTGACAATCAAGTCATCCTGATGAACTGACCTTTGTGCCTTCTTGTGCCCCTCGTTAACTTTGATGATACCTTTGTCTTCAAGTTTATTTTATCCGGTTCAATAGAGCCACTCCACCTTTCTTGTGCTCAGTGTCCGTATGGTCTATCTTTCTCCCTGACAAGCTAATTCTGTTTTTAATATTTAAAGTATTTTTCTTGTAAGCAGCATTTAATTGGGTCTGGCATTTTTTTTTTTATTAATTCTCGTCATCTCTGGACATTTGAGCATCCAGTCCATTACAGCTAAATGTTTTTTATTGGGTTTTTTATTGGGTTTTAAAAGTATTCAAGTATTCGATACAGTTGTTAAAAAAGTGGTATTTGTTTAAATATACATTTATTGTTCATTTATTATCATTTATTTTCTGTTTTTCTCTGTTTCTCCCTTCCTGTTGTCTTCTGGATTTTTAAAACATTTTTAGCACTCCATCCTTATTTATCTTTTGTCTTTTTAACTATATCTCTTTGCATTAAAAGTTTTAATGGTTCTCCTAAGAATTACAGTATGTATATATTCTTATTTTTTCACAGTGTACTTAAAATTAATATTCTGCTTCATGTAAAAATGTGGAACCCTGGCCACCATCCTCCCCATCCTTTGTTATAATTGGCCTATATATTACATCTACATATGTTATAAGCCCCTGAAGAAAATGTTAAAACCTTTGTTTTAAATCAATACAGTGGCTTTTGACCACTCTAGATGTGCTTGTTCTTCATTGAAACGCGCTGTATGTGTAAAATGCATGCTGGCTGTAGAAGACTTGGTGTGAAAAAATAAAACAACTAATAATTTTTATGTTGATTACATATAGAAATTATAGTTGGTGTATATTTTGCATATTTTAAAGTTAGTATCTTTTTTTAATATATGTTATTGATTTTTTACAGCGAGGAAGAGAGAGGGATAGAGAGTTAGAAACATGAGAGAGAAACATCGATCAGCTGCCTCTTGCACACCCCCTATTGGGGAAGTGCCCGCAACCAAGGTACATGCCCTTGTCCGGAATTGAACCCGGGACCTTTCAGTCCACAGTCCACTGAGCCAAACCGGTTTCGGCTAAAATTAGTATCTTAAAATTTTTTAATGTTATTACCAGAACTTTTTAAAATACTTAACATGGTTTATATGAAGCAGTGGTGCTTTATACAGTTATGTATATATATTTTTTTAATTAATAGAAGAATCATTTTTTTTTAATATTTTTATCATTTCCAATGTTCTTCATTCTTGAACATCTGAGTTTCCTGCTTATTTCATTTCTCATCAGACTGGAAAATTTTCTTTAGCATTTCTTATAGAACAGGTCCAGTGACAATAAATTCTTTGTTTCTTTTTTCTGTAAATATCTTTATTTCACCTTCATTCTTGAAGAATATTTCTCCAAAGAACGCAGACTAGTCTTTCTCTTTCTTTAAGCATTGTAAAGCTGTTGCTCATTGTCTGTGGCCTCCAGAGATAAGAAGTGCATACTCATTCTATCCTTCTTTTCCTTATATAACATGTTGTTTTGCTCTGAAGTCAAGTTTCTCTATCTTTGGCTCCCGGTAGTATGGCTGGGATGTGCCTAATCATGGTTTTCTTTGAATTTATCTAGCTTTGGAGTTATTAAACATCTTAAATCTGCCAGTTTATGTCTCTTACTATATTTGGTAGGTTTTTCAGGCATTATTTTTTCAGACATGTACTTTACGTTTTCTCCCCAATATTTTCACTACCCCCTGGCACCACACATAGTTATTACCATACTAGTGGCCCGGTTTATGGATTCATGCACATTGAAAGGAAATTAATTAGAACAAATATTTTAATATCATTATTCGCCCTTTATTTTTTTATTTTTTTATTTTTTAATAAATTTTTATTGTTCATATTATTACAAATGTTCCTTCTCCCCCACCCCTTCCATTGCTCTCCTCCACCAGGTTCCCACCCCACTCTCTGCCCTTTCCCCACCCCCCATTGTCCTCATCCATAAGTGCACAGTTTATGTTCAGTCTCTTCCCACACCCCCCTCTCCCTTTTTCCCCAAGAATCGTCAGTTCACTCCCCTTCCATACCTCTGATTCTATTATATTCAACAGTTAATATTGTTCATCAGATTTTTTTTTTAATTTCCTTGGTTTTTAGATTCACTTGTTGATAGTTACGTATATGTTGTTCATAATTTTTATCTTTATTTACTTTCTCTTCTGAAAGAACCCCCTTCAGCAATTCATATAATTCTGGTTTGGTGATGATGAACTCCTTTAGCTTTTTTTTTATTAGTGAAGGTCTTTATCTGACCTTCGATTCTGAGTGATAGCTTTGCTGGGTAGATTATCTTTGGCTGTATGTTCTTACTATTCATCACCTTGAATATTTCTTGCCATTCCCGTCTGGCCTGCATGGTTTCTGTTGAGAAATCAGCTGACAATCGTATAGGTGTTCCTTTATAGGTAACTACCTGCTTTGCTCTTGATGCTTTTAATATTCTCTCTTTGTCTTTTGCTCTTGGAATTTTATTATGATGTGTCTTGGTGTGGTCCTCTTTGGATTCCTTTTGTTTGGAGTTCTGTGCGCTTCCTGGACTTGTAAGTCTAATTCCTTCACCAGGTGGGGGAAGTTTTCTGTCACTATTTCTTTCAGTATGTTTTCAATATCTTGCTCTCTCTCATCTTCTGGGATCCCCATAATTCTGATGTTGGTTTGCTTGAAGTTGTCCCAGAGGTTTCTTACATTATCTTCAATTTTCTGGATTCTCTTGCCTTCTAGCTTCTGCAGAGGAATGTCTTCCAAATCTTTGACTTGATTCTTGCAATCTTCCATTCTGTTT